GTGATCTCCCAGTGTGTGAGTTCGAGCCCCACGTCAGGCTCTGTGCTGACAGCTCAGAGCCTGGATCCTGCTTTAGATTCTGTGTCTCCCTCTCTCTCTGTCCCTCCCCAGCTTGTGCTCTCTCTTTCTCAAAAATAAACATTAAAAAAATAAATTAAAAAAAAATAACTCTTTTTAAAAAAATTGTTTTTCAACCTAAAGCTGTAGTTGCTAAGGACAAAATTTAAAACATACTCTACATTTCAAGAAATTTAAAAATACAACTGGATATAATTAAAGTATTATAAATTTGTGCATCAACATGGGTGAGTACATTGAGCAGAAGTAAAACTACTGATATCTTCGAACACAGTAGATAATCACAATTTCCCATATACTTCACTTTCATTTTTATACTTTTATCATGTACATTGACAATCAAAATCTTGAACACATTTTAAACCATATTTTAATTTGTATCTGCTCTTATATTGCCATCCAAAAATTAATATTCTTTATCATCCTTCATTTTTAGTCTCATCTTGTCCAATTTGATTTTGATATTGAATTTATAGTTCAGCTGCAGAATGACTAGGACATACATCTTAAATACCTCAAAGAAGGAATTTTAAGGAATTTCCAAACCAGAAATTTTCCAAATTATCAGAAAATAATTGATAAAACCAATAATGATATTTGGAATTGTTGCAGTAATAGGATGTCATGAATAACGACATATAATATTCAATATCATTTAACTGGCGAAGCATGCCATGTTAAAAAGACCTAAAGCTTTTAACTTCATTCGCATTAGGGATAAATTCCTTGTAGCAGATGCGTTGGAAATAGCATGTCTGATTTGGTGGGCTGTTTAAATAACTGGCAGGTGTCTAGTTTTGTAAGCAGTGACAAAGTGGTAAGGTTGGGTTAGGCAGGCACTTCCTTAGAACTGCTACCCACCTGCATGATGGGAAATACTGTTTGCTTTACTTAAATAGATGTTTCAGTTCACTTCAATAGGATAATTAAGTATGTACCCACTAGATACTGTGAGGTTCCAACATGTACTGATTGCTAGACTCAGCCCTTTTAATAATGTCCAATTGAATAAATGAGCAAATCACAGATGATATCGTGTATAGATTTTAGCCTAGTAAATAAATTGTAATTACTTTAAGTAGAGAAATTCTTCAGCTGAAGGGTCCAATCCTTGAAATCTGGTTTTCACTTAAAAATCAAGAAGAAATAGTCTTAAAGTAAAATGAAAATTTTTGGTACCCTAATTTCAAATGACCGATAAGCCAACTGTCTGTCTAGGCAAAGAAAATTATTTTTGTGGGGAATATTGGACAGTTACATTACCAGTGACTAGTGGACTAACGCAGACAAGAAGGATAATTAGAAATAAGTCACTTAAACCACATTGGTATTGTTTCCTTGGAAGGAAATTTTTATCAACATGCACCCATTTATTTTTTTTTAATTTTTAAATTTATTTATTTCTCAGAGAGAGAGAGAGAGAGAGCATGGGTTGGGGGGGCGCAGAGAGTGAGAGAGGGAGACACAGAATCTGAAGCAGGCTCCAGGCTCTGAGCTGTCAGCACAGAGCCCGACGCGGGGCTCGAACTCACGGACCAGGAGATCACGACCTGAGCTGAAGTCAGACGCTCAACCGACTGAGGCACCCAGGTGCCCCAACACCCACCCGTTTCTGACTCATGTCTTGGTCTCTTGTTTTATTGTACCTTATATGATTCATGTACCCATATGATTCAAGTCTCTGCGATGCAGCTTCTTCATATTCTGATTAGGTAATCCTGGCACTTAGTAGAAGAGGGTTATCTTTAGTCGAGGGAGAGGGAATAAGGTGATTCTTCATTTGGGCTTCAAGTCCAAAACCTTTTCTAATTTATCATTTGTGAAACTGATCCTCATTTTTCTTCTCGTAATTATTGTTAGTTGTGTAGCACCTGGAAGGGAAGAGTAATGCATGATTGACAACAATCTCCAACAATTTACAGTTGACTAGTCACCCACTTAGTGCAAAGGGTGGAAAAGATTGAAGCAGAAAGATGATAGCTCAGTAGCTAGCAAGTTCAACATTTTTTTTTTGCTGTTCTTTCTGGGACCTCATTTCCTTTTCTATGCATTGAATAGGTAAGTCATTCCTAAGTCTCACTATTCTTCTGCTTGCCCTCATTTAATCCTTACATTTTATATGATTACATCTATAATAATAAATTACGTAAGAGCAGAGAAAATATCAGCCATTTTAAAATGTCAATTTTTGGCACTTATAAATAGAGTTGCTATAAAAAGTCATGTGCAAGTTATTTACATGTTTATTTATTTATTTTGGATTTTGAAAATTTTATTTAAACCAAGGTAGTTAACATATAGCATAATGATGGCTTTAGGAGTAGAATTTAGTGATTCATCACTTACATATAACACTCAGTGCTCATCCCAACAAGGGCCCTCCTTAATGCCCACCACCCATCCTCCCACCCAGAACCCTCCAGCAACCCTCAGTTTATTCTCTGTGTTTAAGAGTCTCTTATGGTTTTTCTCCCTTTCTGTTTTTATCTTCTTTTTCCTTCCCTTCCCGTATGTTCAGCTGTTTTGTATCTTAAATTCCACATGTGAGTGAAATCATATAGTCTTTGTCTCTCTCTGACTTAGTTCACTTAGCATAATAGCGTCTAGTTCCATCCACGTTGTTGCAAATGGCAAGATCTCATTCTTTTTGATCATCGAGTAATATTCCATTGTATATCTATACGACCTATTCTTTATTCATTCATCAGTCGATAGACATTTGGGCTCTTTCCATAACTTGACTATTGTGGATAGCAGTGCTATAAACACTGGGGTGTATGTGCCCTTCTGAATCAGCATTTTTGTATCCTTTGGATAAATCCCGAGTGGTGCAATTGCTGGGTTGTAGGCTAGGTTTTTATGTGGACATAACTTTTTAACTCCTTTGGGTATATATATACCTAAGACATGATTGTTGGATCATATAGAAAGACTGTGCTTAGCTTTGTAAAACAAAGATACATCTATGCTATTAGCTCTTCAAGGACTGTTTCATAGAAAGTGAAATATATTTTTAGGACAATAAAGTAATCCTATGATTATTAGGTTGCTTTATCCTTAAAAAAAGCTTTTCTTTTGGCCAGAGAGGTAATTTTAATTCTAGCTTCTGAGTTTGTATTGTTTATTAGTTGATGAAATTCAATTGTTCTTTGAAAGTAAAGATGTTGTGATTGTCCCAACCTAGTTCTGTTGCAATTATAAGGCCTTACCCAAGATTTCTGTTAATTTCCAGGGGACTTCCAGCTTTAGAATTAGTTCTGCTTCTGACTTTTTCTTACTTCCAAACTATACATTTTACTTGAATCTTATAGTCCTTGGCTATCACTTTCCCTTTACTGTTTTGTGAACATAGAGTCCAACCTTATTTTATTAGATTCTTTACACACACCCACTCACACTCACATGCACACGCACACGTGCACATACAGAGGCATACACACACTGACACACACACACACACACACGCACACACAGAGGCATACACGCAAACATAATAAAACAAGCTTTATACAAACCACTTGTGGGAAGAGCATATCTCATTAAAGGTTTGAGAACAAACTGGTTTTCTATCATGGAGCATGGAGGTGCTCATTGCTCATCCCCCCTTCTTTTCAAGACTCTTTCATTAGAACCAACCTTCTCCTTCTTCTTACCCCTCACCGTAGGTTTCCTCAAAGATACTCAAATCACCTTCTTGTCCAGAACAATTTAGTTCTTTAAATGATGCTTGGCAAGACTCCAGGCATAATTTTGTGTATCCAAAGACTCAATGCCTTTGCTAGAACAATGGGCTATTTATGCCCCCTCTTCCCATTCAGTAGCATGGACAAGCTGGCAGAGGCTTTGACATTTCATTTTATTCTATTCTCTCATCCCTGTCAGTCTTTGAATAAAAGGCAGTAGTGCAGAGATTTATTTTTCCTTTAATATGAAATATGTTATCCCTTTAGAGGGATCGGGTGGTGATAATCAGTTTGGTTCTTAAACAATACTTTCTTATATAAATCAAATATCTGAAGGTTTTTCCAAATTGCTTTACATAATTACGGCCAAACTTTTTCATAGATGTTTACAAATTTTACCATAGGTGAATTTTATTCCAAAGTAGTTTTCATTAAACATTTTACTTTCTGAATTATACATTTTACTTTCTGAACCCACTACACATACATACACACATGCATTCAGTGCAGAGGGCTTTCAAACTATTTTAGAAAGGAAGAATATTCAGGTGATGTGTCATTAAAATTATGAGCTAGTATCATCAGTTTTCAACAGCATGCTTACTAATAACTAAGAAAAATTACCTCGCACACACACATGGGTTTCTGTGGTGGAGATTTCACAGGGAGGGAATGTCCTGCCAAAGAGGAAGGAACTTGTTGAACATTATATGAGTGTGGAAGTTGTGAAGAGCAAAAAATGATTTCATATGTGGAAGAGAGAATGTGTTGGGGTTCTTTGCTGGCTCTAATTGACCTGTGTCCTTCAGTTCTACCCGCTTCCTCCCGTCATCACATACTGTGATTTATCTTCCTTTCTACACTTCCTTTCAAGTGTGTTCTGTGTTCTCCTACCATCGGATCTTTGCACATGCTGATCTTTCTACCTGGACCACTCAATTACTACTCAAGTTCCCCTCCTCCAACACTTCACCCTGTGTTTCCAATGACTAACTTTTATGTTTTTTACAGTCTCAGTTTATCTCTTACTCAGAGATCTATTTCCTGCTTTCTATCTAAATTATGTACCCTATCTTACAGAGTTTCAGAAGGCCTTATTTGTCTTCTTCATACCTCTTATTATAATTTTAAATTATTAATTAATTGACTTGTTTAATACTGTCTTTGTCACTAGATGCTATGGTCTATGAAGAATGAACACAGATGAAAAGAATATGGGGGGGGGAGGATAGGCTACAAATGATAGTATGTATCTGCTGTGCTTAAGAAATACATTGTATATTGTTGAATAAGACTTGTGTTATTTTTAAGTACATTATATTTGTCCAAAGGGTTAGATTTGAATGGTTAAGCTACACATGAAGAGAGGCCTGCTAATCTTGCCATTTACAACTATGTGGGTAGAACTGGAGGGTATTATGCTAAGCAAAATTAGTCAGAGAAAGGCAAGTATCATATTACTTCACTCATATGAGGACTTTAAGATAGAAAACAGATAAACAT